TCCCAAAAGAAAAATCAGATCCAGTCCCCCCTTTCTCCTTCGTGCCGCTGTCGGTGATGGCGCACTCGTCTAGCCATGGGTTGGGCTTGACGGCGACCGCCCTCTCTCCGGCTGATGTCTGGTGGTCTATGCAGGCGAACTCCCTCGCGCCATCCTCTCTCTATCAAAATTTTGTATTAGTTTTATGCATATTATTCACTGATCACGAAAAATCGTTGTTTAAGGCCTAAAAGAACTTCCAATTGACAATCTTTCTTTGCCGACGTCATGTTAGAAATTTGATTCTCGAAGCTTTTCAAACAAAATAGACTAATTCTTATTTTGTTCGTCTTTTCTATCACTGGAAGATCTCTCACTTTAATTTAAGTCTTGTGTTCGTAATCAACCCACGCATAGGGGTTTCGTGAGGTCGACCATAACAACAAGTCTAGCATATTTTCCACGGTTCCGGGCTGCTGTTTGTTGATTGATTTTAACTACCTTACCAACTATCTGGCCAATCTTTCGGAATATCTTCTGATGGTATAGATGAGCGGGCATACCGGGTAGTCGAATCCACGCGACCGTTGCCTTTAAGTCCTCCTCGATCGCATCAAAGTCCAATGTCCACGGTTGTGCATGCATATAGCTATTCCCCACGACGTATGGCCCTCCAGTGAGAACTTGAATCGCGTCGTCGTGAGTTCGAAATTGAATTAGATAGAAACCATTTTCTAAGTCCATCATGGTACAACCCGCCATGACAGGCCACATCCGGGTAAGGCGGTTGTAAAGAGATGACATAGTAAGCGCCTCGTCAAACGGTTTCACTACGACCGCATTCTGCCAGTCCTTCTTAATGGCATCAAAGAATCGCTTTGCAATCGTGATCTCAAGTGTGGAACGGGATAGGTCAAATTTTTGTATTGGTTTTCTGCATATTATTCACTGATCACGACAAATCGTTGTTTAAGGCCTAAAAAAACTTCCAATTGACAATCCTTCTTTGCCGACGTCATGTTAGAAATTCAATTCTTGAAGCTTTTCAAACAAAATAAACTAATTCTTATTTTGTTCGTCCTTTCTCTAACTGCAAGATCTCTCAAAATTTAAGTTTTGTGTTCGTAATCAACAGAAAAATTAACTTTATTTTTATAGCCATAATTTTAATGAAATTGGCAGAAAAGAAAGCTTATGTATCAAAATATGGTGTTAATTTGAGTTTTATGATATGTAGTTTATGTTTTAGTGAACTAGTCTAAGTCTTGGTCGTTTAGACCATTCGATGTTGTAGGCCGAGTTTCGACCAGGCTATCTGAAGGCCTTGGCTTGACGTACTCTCCATATACTGAAATCCCCTTTGAGTTGTCTTTCGATTCGGAGGATTCTTAATCTTGTGATGATCGACCATGACCGTCCTGTTTGGATTCCGCTCGACCAGGTGGTTTGTTCGACTTACTCGACCGGCCTGCTCAACCAGTTTACTCCTCTAGATATTGTATCATATATCATCTAGTCCCCCCACTCTAGTAGAGTCTGAATGACTCGATCTAAATGTAGTTTTTCGTCTATCCTTTTAACTGTTGCAGAACTCGCTATCTATCGACTGCCTTGGTTTGCTCTCTCTGCTTTTTGACCTTTTCCTCTTTTGGCCTTCACTTTAAATTTCAAAATTCCACCCTGCCACCTGTCAAATCTGTCAGGCCTGTCCCATCACTTGTCTAACTAACGTCATTGCTCCTTAAATCGCTCCAACTCGGACGATATGCGTATTGAATGCTTCTTTAAAGGCGTCCATCGGGATTAATGCCTTTAATACAATGGTTACCGGACCGACTGTCTCTTCAACTTGCCAACACATCCATATTCCTGATTTCTTTTTTGATCCAACGGTTCTTTCGTCCAGCCCTTTCCCCTTCGCCCTGGCACAATCTTCGCCCTTTATTTTTTATCTCGATCGAACGGTCCTTGTTTAGCCAACCTTTCCACTAACCCTTTCCATTGTCTATAACTACCATTGAACCAGACCTTTTCCTGTTTCCCACCTTTGCGAATTTTAGCTATATCTGTGCCCTAACCCTTTTCACCTTGTGCTTTCCAACATACGTGCTTTCGACGTAATCTTTGGCCAAACATCCTCCCATCCACGATGATGAGTAAGTCTTTTTGCTTTTTAATTCCAATTTGCATTTTTTATTTGTACTGTTTGATTTTTTCTTCCAATTCCTTCCTGAATTTTCCGTCCAAGCCACCGACAAAAAATCCTGAATTTCTTCTTTATCTTCTTCTTCTTTTTTGTCTTCTTCGTCTTCTTCTTCTACTCGTCTCGAAAACCTTAAAAATTTTCTCTTTTGATTTTTTCTCTCCTTTGTTTTTCTGATTCTGCTACCTTATGCGAAAATGATTTTTCTCTCCTTTGTTTTTCTGATTCTGCTACCTTAAGAAAAAACGACCACTTCTCCGGTAAGGACATGTCTTCTCTTTTAATTTTAAGTTTTAATGAAATTGAAAAGAAATCTAATGTACCAAATGATGGAGTTAATTTAAGTTTTATGATATTTAATGTAAGTTTTAATTATATTTAATTTACAACTACGATATAACCAAACGATGCAGTTAATGCTAGGGGTGAGCGTGTGTCGGTACGGTTCGGAGATTGATAAAACTCCAGAACCGTACCAAAGTTCGGAGATCCCAAAATTCGATCTCCAGAACCGTACCAAAAAGTCGGTTCGGTTCAGTTCGGAGATTTTTATTTTTTCGGTTTGGTTCAGTTCAGTTCCTTATTCGGACTATTGGGACAATAAGGTTCAGTATGGTTTGGTTCGAATCTTCGGAGATTTTTTTTTCTTATTTTTTTAGATTTTTTTGAATGATTACCTAGTTATATTTTAATTTTTATATGCTTTAAAAAACAACATTCATCAATAATTCATCATATTGAAGATTTTATTTTGAAATCGATAATAGATGTAACTCTATATTTTAGTTATTTTATTTTTATATGCGTTAATAAACCCAACATTCATCTGTACTTCCTCATATTAAAAATTAATTTTGAAATCAACTTTAGAAGTAACTCTAAATTTTAGTTAAGATTAAATTTGTGCAACTAATGTTGAAAATTTAAAATTCAAATAAAATATAATATTTTTTTCTAAAAAAATATTCTTTAAGCTTTCATATTATTTTAAATAATTATTTTATAATAGAAAATATTCAATTGTAGATCAAATATTACTAAGCATGAAAGTTAAGTGAAGGTTAATAGTTATTATTACTATATTATATAGGATCAAATGTGACATAAAATATCTAATGTTATAATTCAGTTCTTTAGTTCGGTATGGTATGGGACGGTTCGGTTCGGTTCTCGGTACGGATATTTGTGAAATCTTCAGAACCGTACCAATTATTTTTTCGGTTCGGTTCGGCTCGGAGAAAGTAAAACGGTCAACGGTTATTTTTCGATTTGGAGTGATTTCGGTTCGATTTTCGGACTTAGATTGGTTCAAAGCTCTAAAAAGTTAAATATCATAAAACGATGGTGTTACAGCTATGAAAGTGCTTTAAAAATAAAATACACTCATTTTATAGATTTAAAAATTCAGTAAAATCATATAACTTAAGAAAAATAGTTATAATTTTTATTTTATATATTGTTATTTCAGTTTATGTAATCTTGCAATAATCATACAATTATGAAAAAATGATTTTCTTTATGCTTTTTTTTTTTGGTACAGGGACCTTCCGGTTTCCGGATCCACAGTGGAACCGACTAATCCGGAATCAAGCCGGGTAGGACCACAAGGGCGGCAAAGCTCTCCCTCAAGAGTTTTTAACACTGCTGCATTCTCAGGGCTCGAACACGAGACCACTGGTTAAGCTGGAAGAGACCCAAGCCATCTCATCCAAGCGCTCTTGGGTATTTTCTTTATGCTTTTAAAGAAACTTGATAAAATTCTTAACATTATTTAAAAAAAAATAAATACAATACTAAAGGAAAAAAACTAATTTTTTTTTCGTAACTAAAAGTATTCAATGCAAAATTACATAAATAAAACCTTATAGAAATAGATATAGATTAAGATTAGTAAATTTATTGGTTGCACAATATGTGAATGTGTGGATTTTCGTTTGAAACATTTCCTAATTTTCCTATGGTTAAATTAGAGATGTTAAACGGGCCAATCCTAGCGGTTTTTCGAGCTAGCTCTAACGTGCTTCGGGCTAAACGATCCAAGTCTAAAAAGTCTTGATTTAAACAACCTACTAATAAAGGGAAAAACAAACAAACCTTGCCTTCTGTTTGCCAAGATCTGATTTCTCCTGGAGGTGCCAAACCAACGTAAGCACCATTTGCCACTATATCATCCTCACTTAAGAATCTAAAATAAAATTGTCAAAAATGTGTTAATATTTAATCAGTAGCTTTTGAAAACCAAGCTTACAGAAATAGAAATGAAAAATGCCATGAGGAATAATTAGTACACTCTATTTAATTAATGGGAAATGCTACAGTCCTGTTACGGAATCATTCTGTCGGGATTTGTAATCGTTAGATCATCATGTAACCATCGTGGATAGTTGATCTAACGGTTACAAACCCCGACAGAATTGTTTCGTAACGGCACCGTAGAATCTCCCTTAATTATGAGGCAAAACGTATATTAGAGGTTAATAAGTTACCTACCTGTCTCTAACAAGTAATCTGCCACCGGCATTGCCCCTCTCATCTAATTTTGGGAAGTCCTGTGACGCTGGAAAACTATAGGGCCAATTTTCAACTTGTTCCAACACCTATAAAGATAAACAATAAATATACTATAATTTATTTGCATTGGATTAGATATGTTATTATGTTATTTTTATTTTATTTACTCTTTTTTCTTTAAAAAATACTTAGAATTTTAATTTTTTTATAGCAAATTGGATATTTATAAAGCGGAATTTATATTATTGTATGACAAACTATAGAGATATTTATAATGTGAAATTTATAATTCTTGATTTTACGAGTATCAAAATTTAATTATATTAATATATTATTTAATTATTCAATAGCATTACCATTACAAATAATACAATAAATGGAAATTTAATCTTTTATGTTAAAAATATATAATAAAGTTGACCATATTTTTTATCACATTTTAGCAAAATTTAAGATCATTCCTGTATTTAAATATGTAATTATTCAAATCATTGTTTACATTTTAAGTATTTTTTATTCTAATTATAATAAATAAAGTAATTTAATTGAGTCAACAAAATACTATGAAATTAATATTAAGACTTTATAAAAATATTATATCAATCAATAATTATATTTAAATTAAACTTTAAGAAGGAGTATTAATCATTGAATAAATAAAAAAATTTAAATTATTATAAATAAATTTTTCTATGAAATCAAAGTAACTATATGCTAAATAAAGACAAAAATTATTTCCCATAGAAGACGATGGAAACTATATTAATATAGATTACTCCAATATATAGATATATATACAATTAACCTTTTTTTTTTTT